TCCCATGTAAAAATCCCAAAGGTGACTCGACAGCAACTCATGTTTGATCACATAGTATTTCGTAACACCCCTTAATTTGCAAAGATCGTTTAATACGTTAAAAATTGAAGCTGCTTACGTTCAGCCCTGTTTTTCATGTTTGGTGACTTGTTTGATATATACGACCGTTTTGGGGATAACATAAAGTACCTAAACAAAAAATTATCACTTATGCACAATGTCGAACTTCTTTTCGCCCTATTTTGTAATGGCGAGTTCATGTTTTCGTAAAGCGTCCTGCTATTCGTGGCGCATTTGGCCTTTCAACACGGAATGCTGATATATGAGGCACAAAGTTGCGGTTGCCGTTAATTATACGCGAATTAAATTAACCAAATAATCGAATTTCATTTCAATTGCTCGAACGAGAATCTTCTAATTGCTTTACTATTGGGAAACGTTAAGTGGTGAGTACGAAATTTAGGAAAAAATGCACTGGCAGGTCTAATTAGATTTTTTTGTTATCGAGGAATATTGAGTTATCTCAATCCCGCGGGACTTAATTTGGCGTACTATCATAAATTACGGGCCCCTTGGCTTCTTCTCTCTGGTACAGAAAAAATTTCTAATTAAACGTGCCAGTTACTTTGTAAAGAGAACCGGAAGGCAAGTTTCTGTAACGGCCAGTATTAATACAACGAAAATCATTGCCAACAATATTGGGGGTGTTTTAACGGAGAATCTAAAATTCCTAAAAATGCTTAAGGTTAAATTAATTAAAACTTCGAACACCAAAGGTTTGTTTTTGTGGTTGGTGCACAACACAAAAAAAACCTTTAAGCATAGATGTCAAAACTTTTAATTTTACACTTAAAAATTCTGCTTTCATCACGTCTCTTTTAGTAACGCTGTCTTTCGATTGCTTTTTTAAATTAAAATATATACTTCGACGTTGACTTTACGGCAAATTATGTCTTGTAAAACTTTATACTAAATAATCAAATACCAATTCGATAGTATTATAGGCTCATACCGGTACCGACACATGAGAGGCCGAGATGACGCATCCCCACTATTCATATTTTATTAATTGCACCTACTAGACTAGTGCGCTCCTCCCGCAGACTCCAAATTGGTCTCTCGCTTTCTTTTGTGTCGGTACCAGTCCCAATTTCTACACGGCACAAATTTGATTATTTTTTTCCACAGTTTTGACAATGTTTAGATTTAATTTAGTCATTTTCAGGGTGTCAGTATGCATCTTTGTTGCAGCAGGAAGGGTGGTTATTAGAGCTTACGACATAGGCCACGCGTCATTCGTAACCTACCTACTTTCCATACAGTTACAGAAGTCGATTTTTATTTGGGCTTACAACATTATCGTCTGGCTCATAACTTATTCAAAATTATATTATGCGTTAAGCGAGAGTTCCGCTGCTTTCAAAGTATTAGCAGAAAGTTGAGCGTAAAGAAGGTATATTAATTATTAATATTTATTTAAACGCCTAGGATTTGCAAAGGTAAACGTTCAATACATACTAAATAAACTGTTTCGTCGTCAGCAAAACGAAATCACCCCTAAACGTACTTACCTAAATTTAAATTGGATACCTACTATTATAGTTTATTCAAACCCCCCAACGGCGATTTCTTTCCCGTCCTTTAGATCCTCACGGATTGCAAATTAAAACTTAATGTAGATCATTATACAGAGGTATACAAATTGATTTGAGCGTGAAAGTTTACTTCGGTTTCAATTTGCATTCATATGTCGATTACTTTCGGTTTTCAGTTTTCGGTGTAATTTCGATTCGCTGAAATCCAAGATTTTTCAATTTTCCCAAAAAGACGTGAAAGCTTCAGGATTGGGGAAGGAAAACTAAATCAACATTACCTACGTTATGTCATAAATCTGTTTTTTGTAAATTTGTTCTCCATCAAACGAAAAAAGGAGACGGACACGTCGGTTGAACATGAAACGCAATTGCATCTGAGAAAAATTCAGTTAAACTTGTACGCGAAGTCAATAAAAACGGCTTTTCGGAAAATAGCAGTTTCTATGCATAGAAATTTCTTTTCCCGAAATCATCATGCCTACTTACGTCAGGAAACTTTCAATTCCGTGGCAGTGTCCATTTTTCCGAGATATAATTGCCACAAGAAAAACAATGCAAAAATTGAAGATTTATTTCCAAATGAAGTACTAAGTATTCAGTATCGCCGATTTTGTAATTTTTTCTCTATCGAGTGTAAAAATCCAACATCGCGTTTGTAAGAAATAAGAAAGTTGCCGTGATTTACTCGAATCCTACAAGTCATAAAAATTTCATTTTAGCACCATCAGAAAGATGAGAAATCACTACTAATCGGAGTAAAATGTAGAGTCCGCTGGCTTTAAACGGTTATAAAAAAAAACTACCCAACCGATTTTTATCAAATAAAGCGTAATATAATCGTCAACTATTTCTACGTATCCGTACGTAATGTCATATTTCTTGTTAAATTTGGGAAGATGTGATAGTGAATAAGTGAAATATGTACGGGAAAGCGCGCTTTTTCAATGAAAGTATACGAACTCAGAACTTTAGGATTTAATTACAAAAAAAGTATTCACTCAAATGGGATAATGTTTACGTATGTGATAGAATACACCTTTAACTATACGTCGATACATTTTTATGCATTTCTGTATAATTACGCAAACGTTACAGCGATAAAATGACAGACGCGTTTATTCGCTTATTATAAGATACACTTTAAAAAGTTTTGTTCATATCGATAAAGGACAATTACAAATGATATGATCACGGAATAGAATCAATGACAAAAAAATGTGAAGGGCTGCAGGAATTAATATATTTTGAGCGAAAAAGATAAACGCAACACCTCGAGCGGAGTTGGGGGGAAGGTCATTTAATCGCAAAGTTGTACCTTGCAGCAACGTTTCGTATAAAGCGGCACACACGCTAAGTACATGGTTAAGTAATATATGCATGGAATTGTTATTATGTTTGCCGCACATCACACATGAAAACCGCAGGTTATTATTCATCTTGTTTCGTACGTAGAGTATTGGCTAATTTACACAAAAACAAACATCCACAAGTTGTTTTCAGACAATATGTACGCATTTATGGCGTTTGCTATTTTATTCATCTTATAAAAAAAGAATGAAGTCGTTTCCTTCAATAATAGCTGCGTTGCAATGTTTTTGCTTTTCCGCTAATTACGCAAAAAGGGAACAAGATATTTCCATAATTTTTTCTACAATAGCTACAGCAAGAATTGGGTTATGTAATACCCGAAATGTATGAATTTTCGTGGAAAAATAAACTATTTATGGACCTGTACAGTTGAGCATCGCGACAAATCACGCATTTTAGAGTACTTTTTTGTGAGGAAAATTCGATAACGTAAAAAGTCCTGGCAGCAAAAATTTACAATTTACGTATGTTAACAACAACTGATACGTTCCAAAAATTTCATTAATATCGGCTCCAGCGATTTTGAGATTTGAGCCTTCAAAGTGAGCGGACTCTACATTTTACTCCGATAGTAAGCGTATGTTAAAATTATTTTGTGATACCTTTGAAAATAAGTGAACGCTAGTCCGTTCTCGATAATGACATTTTTCAATTTTAATTAAAAATAAAATTCTGCACAACTTTTCCTATTTAAGCGACTTTGTATCTTTTGCGGTTTACGAGGTCCCCATAGTGAGAATGAAAAACAAACTCACTCTGTATAATTTTTTTCTTTAACCCAAAAATGTTTGGGCCAAATTTCCCGCCCCCTATGCTCCAGCCTACTCAGCCTCCAGGTCACTGCAACCAGGAACTGTAATGACCTCTGCATATCGTTCTCCAGACGTAAGATAAAAGCCAAATCGCTATATATACTTGGTAAACAACTGTTCAATAAATTACCAATAGCATTTAAATCTCTAACAACATTAAAAAGCTTTAAACACGCATTAACATCACATCTACTGATGGAGAAGGAATTTTATTCCCTTGAAGAATATTTTAATTCGTTCTAGCGTCTTGTATGTTTTATATTTTAGTGTAAATTTTAACATGTCCTATATTACATTTAGGTGATCTATTGGAAAAAAAAATTATTATAAATTAGATCAACGCTTTAATGGGGATAGAAGCGATCCTTAAAATTGAAATAGGGAAGAAAGGTTGAGCGACACCTCATTTTAAAGGTCATTAAAATGTCTTTTTTAGAATATTACATACTTGTTTTGCGTTTATGAGTGGCCTAAAAGTTTGAAATGATAAGTTCTTCCTCATGTGTAATAAATATTATTGAAAAAAGCTCTTTAAAGATCCTCTTCAATCATAGAGTATTACCTATTCTAGAAAATACCAACAATTTATCTGTGACATGACATGGTTACTACCACAGGTGTAACTAAGTAGGTAGTTATTTACCTACCGTAAATCCTGCAGGTAATGCTAGAAAAGAAAAGAAACTGTTCTATTACTGCCAGCTGTTTGTTCAATTTTCACGCACTTTTCGCCCTAAATACGGACCCATTTAGCGTCAACCCCGATATGATCCAATTGAAGAGGAGCTTTGCTTTCTTTTATTGTGTGCGCTAAAATCGCAAACTGACGAGAAACCGCAAAATAAAGCCATCGAATGTGAATTCAATACAAAAATTGCTGCATCAGAACGTTTCATGCAAAACGTCTATTTAAAGCTTTTGAAAACGCGCTGGAAAATTCCATTGAATTGTTTAATCGAGATATAACATTTACATTTTCATATAAAGCGAATTTCAAACTTTTGTTCAAAGCACAGACGGATTATCGATACCGTGTTTAATCAAGCGATTTGGTACACACGACTTCATTCAACAAATCAGTACGTATACATAAATCAATGTAGCCTACGTAATCGTAAAAAAAATCGTAAGGGTTTACTTACTGATATTGAAATTTTTATGAAATTGCCTTTTTATTTTATTACACTTTTCTCTACACGCATTGCGGATGGCACATAAAACTTACCCTTTTCACTATATCCAGCAATTTGTCATTGTGTAAAGACGGTAATTGCTTTGTCAAGTACTTTCATTTCTCGGGCACGTAGCTCTTTTATAAGAAGTGCCTACATAAACTCTTTCGACACCGCAATTTTATAGTTAATTTTATATTGCTCGACCTTCGGCAAGTAAATAAATTAATGTAATAAATAATGGAAAATTAACTTTTAGGATACGATCCATAATAAATGTCAAATACAACAAATTATTTCAAAAAACCTTTAGGTACAACAGAATTTCTTCACGATCACATTTTCACACAAAAATATTACCTATTATTAGGTTTCAGGAAATTGGGAAGGTCGTTTTTGTGTATTACAAAAAGCAGTGGTACCAACATTTATTTATTTATTTGTTTAACCACACACCATACAGAATAAAAATTCCAATTACATGGCACTGAGGCTCTGAACAAACATTAGGACTTAAGATCTAATTTGATTTATTATTGCATTTAGGGGATCGTGAAAAAAGTCGATATCATTAACTGAGGACGACTTATTTAAAGTGATCAAGATCTTAATAAGTGGAGAAGTTGTGTTGAAGTGGGGAAGTTGTGTTGTTAACTGCAAAAATAGTATTATTTTGCCTTAGCTTAACAAATGGTACCTTAAGCTTAATTTCTTGAAGTAATTCGGAAGAGTTTAACAAATTGTGTTAAATTTTGAAGACAACAATTGTGGAGGCAATGTACCGTCGGGTTTCTAACCTCGTTATATTTAAGCCGAAAGTACTATTTAAGTAATTAAGCTGAGAGATCAAATGTGGATAATTTTGGGTTGACCTAAAAAACATTACTCGGATGAACTTTTTCTGCACTTTTTCGATCATGTCTGAGTATTTGAGAGTTTGAGGAGACCAGATACATGCAGCATACTCAAGCTTGGATCTAATAAACGCATTATATAAGGTTAGAATTGTCTGTATATTCGTGAAATTGAGTGTATTTCTGATAACGAAACCAAGAAGTTTGTAACACTCATTTGTTAGGTATTCAACGTGTAAGTTGAAGTTAAGGTTGTTATTGAAAAACACGCCCAGGTACTTAACGGAGGTGACTCGTAGTAAGACCTTTCCATTCATCTTATAGTCAAAAAGTAAGGGATTTTTCGATCTAGTAAAAGTTAGGACTTATCGATATTTAGTTTCAGTTTATTTTTGATACACCACTTAATTACTGAGTTAATGTCCTCTTGAATATTTAAAGTCACTTGCGGATTGGACTTCATTAAAAAGTTGGTGCTATTGTTACGTGCGGTCTAACCTTATGTTACATGCGGTGTACCTTATAGTAGCGGTCTACTATACACGGTTTACGTGCGGTCTACTTAGTAGTAGCAGTCTACTGTGCATTGTAAGGTGTTGTCTACCGTTAGCGGTCCTTGGTTATTATGATACTGGATTATGTCTTTTATTACTCTTATTACAAAACAAACATACAGTGCGTTTATCTTAGATTGGAACATACGATTTTGCATGCAATGTTATTTCCCTATGTTCCATTTTAAAAAAAACGCATCAACCTGAAGGATATGCGCGGTTCACAACTAAAACAAACGTATTAGAAATTTGCGAGTCACATTTGAACCAGCCTTTATTTTTAGGTTATGTACGTGTACGGTCGAAAGTCGAAGAAAAATTGTTTAATAATAAATAAAATGAATTTAATTATAAGTTATAACAAATGTTCAAAGTGCCCTCCTTCACATTCCAAGCAGTACCCTAACCGATTGCGAAATTCCTGAATACTATTTCGTAAAAACGTAGGATTCATTTGATCACATGCTGTTAGTATTCGGGTTTGTAACTCTTGCACATTCTGAATGGGAACATGATTATAAATTTTCGATTTTAGATATCCCCAAAGGAAAAAGTCATTTGGCGACAGATCGGGAGATCGTGCTGGCCAAGTGCCAAGATATTGGACCAAATCTACCGATCCAACGGCCCGGGAATGTTTCATTGAGGAAACTTGTCACTGGTCTCGTAGAATGTGGTGGAGCCCCGTCCATTTGAAACCATGGGTTGTTTATATTCAACTCCTGTAACCGTGGAATAATGCGCGATCTAAGTAATTCGAGAAACTTTGTTGAATTTAGAGTTCCATCGATGAAGAACGGTCCGATTAGAATATTGTTTATTATCCCGGCCCAAACGTTAATTTTAATATTATATTGCGTATGCGTTATGTTGTGTACATGATTATTAGTTTGTGACCAATATCTAATGAAGAAAACGGTATCAGTAAGATTTAATATGGAGATAGGTACCTACCGATAGTTTTGAGAATTTACTGTACCGTTCAGAGAAAAAGATGCTTCATCTGTAAACATTATTTTGTGCAATATTTCCTCATTATTGTTTAACAAATTAAATATTGTTTCGCAAAAGTCTGTGCGTTTTATTTTATCATCATCAAACAGTTGTTGGTGATTTTGAAATTTGTACGACTTGTATTTAAATTTCTTTAGCGTTTTAAACACGGAAGTTCTAGAAATTTCAAATTCCTTGGCCATTAAACTTAGTGATGCTGTTGGGTTTTCTTCAGCATAGCACAAAATTTCTAATTCCAATTCTTCATTAAGGACATGGTTAATTTTTGCCTTTTTTGTGTGAAGATTTGCAACACAGCCATCCCTATCAAATTTTGCTATAACTCTGTGGATCGTTGAAATGGATGGTATTTGTTCGTCAGGATACTGGACTGCAAGTAAATCGCGGACTTGTCTTGTACTGTTTAGGCCTTTGTATAAATTTATAATTGCAATTTTCATTTCTTTAGGCAGCATTTTTGAATTTATTGCAGGGCGGTAGATTTAAAGGTGACAGTAGTACATTGCGCCTACTACCCATTTGAACTACTCCTTCAGGTTGATGCGTTTTTTTTAAAATGGAACATAGGGAAATAGCATTGTATGCATAATCGTATGTTCCAGTCTAAGATAAACTCACTGTATATACAACATAATATACTTATACAATAAAAATTAATCCACATACACGTTTCGTAAATCTTGAAGGAAGGTAATAAATTTATCTTCGCTGGTTTTGCGTAAAATTTTATACGCCATATAATCTAAATGCCCTTGCAGTTGGTTCAAGGGAACGCTGCGCATTTTCTTCATGATATGAACCTTCGCATCTAACCATCTCCGTTCAACTAGTTGAGTGTTAGCTCCGGAATCAGGATCGATGTAATTTTGTTGATGGTTCACGGTGCTGTGTTGATATCCTAATGCCTGCAGTTGTCGGTAAGCCGGCCACTCATCCGAATGTATAACAGAGCCCATCTCCACTTCCCTTTGTATAATTGCGAGCAGTGTGGCTTGATCTCTTCGTTGGACGACAAAATATCGTACCTCCGCCTTAGTAGCCAAACCAAACACCCATGGGCCATCGATTCTTCGTCCGTGGTTTCGGTTATTTTCAACATCGGCGTCTGAATCGTCGCTTTCCGCTGCTTGATCTCCATTGAGCAGACGTCCTCTGTTATATTTCCGACGCCCAGCAAACCGAGACTCGTCTATCTGAACAGGGTCGTTAATAGTACCATGTAGTCTTCCTCTGCTTCGCACGGATATGACACTTGAACAGACTTCTCTGCACATCGTATACCAATCCACCAAAGTATGGGTCGACCTTCCGGTATGTGCACTGGCGACTTCTATTGTGGTATCCATCAAAAAGTAATACACAATCTCCAAAATTGCGCACAAACTTAAATTACAATGCAGTTTGTTGTTTAAATCGGTATAATGGAAGAATCTGTTTCCCGATCGTACTGAACGAGTTGTTTGGCAGCCCTTCCTAGGACAACGAAACACCGGCCGGAACTCTCCATTTCTATCGCGCTTCCTTTTCTGAACCATGACACTTCCACACCGCAAGCATGGATCGGTTTCATCTTCTGATTGTAGAAGGCCATGTTGCTGCAGAAATCTAACAGCTGTTTCTTCGGTAGCAATGATACTGTAAAACTCTCTGGTTAACATGTTGACTGACAGATAAGCTACAACTAAACAACCCTTTGTATGACCCATTCATTTTATACCTTCTAATTAGATAATTATCAGTACCTCGTTAATGGTTAGTACCTATAGGTAATTAGAAAGTGTGCCTATAGATATCGATAATGTATCTAATTAGAAAGTTATGTGGTCAGATAATTAAATTAAGTATAATGTATGTTATTCATATTAATTTCAAATCAAATCATTAGAATGGAGTAAAGATATTTCTAAACCTATCAATTCACAATGTGCAATAGGTCGCTAACAATGTATAGTAGTACGCTACTACAAAGTAGACCGCACGTAACCGTGTGTAGTTGACCACTACTATAAGGTAGACCGCACGTAACAATAGCACCAAAAAGTTTTAGGTCGTCCGCAAATAGTAGTACTTTCGAGTTTTTTATCACTCGAGGTAAATCATTAATGTATATGAGAAACAAAAAAGGACCAAGAAGTGTTCCCTGGGGAACGCTTGATGAGGGATAAAATTCGGCTGAATTCACACCATTGAATTTCACTCTTGTTTTACGGAGAGATAAATATGATTTCAGGAATTTGACGGTCGGATTACTTACACAATTTAAAACAAGTTTACGGAGCAAGACTTGATGGGATACTGTGTCAAATGCCTTCGCAAAATCTGTATGAACACAGTCTACCTGGGCTCTCTCATCCAAGGCTGCTGCTGAGAAATGCGTAAACTGCATTAAATTGGTAATCGTTGATCTGTTCCGCGTAAAACCGTGCTGTTGATCTGCAATTATACTGCTGAGATGAGAATAAAGTCTAGTATAGATCACTCTTTCGAAAATTTTCGCTATTTCTGGTATAATTGCAATTGGCCGATAATTCTCAACTAATTTTCTGCTTCGACTTTTGTGAATTGGTGTTATTCTGGTGCATTTCCAAGCATCGGGGAATGAACATGTTTGCAAAGCTAAATTAAATAGATGTAGTAAGGGGGTTGCCAATAAAGATGCACATCCTTTCACGATGTAGGGTGGGATTCCATCTTCGCCCATAGCCGACCTCGGTTT